GGCAGACTGACGAAATACACTGCTGAGGGGAGCAGCGGGTGAGACAGGGGAGGTCTGTCGCACCATGTGGGACCCTCGCTGGTGGCCGGGAATCGAACCGTCGCTGCAGAGGCTGTGGGCAATTTCGCAGCTTCACAGCCCAGCGCTCAACCGCTGCGCCACCAGGGGAGGCCCCATTTTTTCTTTTTGATTTGAGCACCAAATGACTGACACTGACACGTTTCTTCTATAGTCACTGCAGGATCACCTCCATACATACAACATACACGGGAAGAGTATGGGAAACTGTTTCAGGACGGGCAGTCACCCAGGGCATACAGGAGCTGGCAGCAACAGTCTCAGCAACTCCTTGCAGGCATCCCATCCTCCAATGTCCCAGGAGGATCACCTGGTGTTCCGGCAAGACCCGTCAGCTGTGGTTTCCAGCCTTGGCCTTCATGGTCTACGTGGATGCATGCCAGTGACCAGAGCACCATGGAGGAGCTGATCCTCCACAATTAATAATCAGAAATAATGGGAATTTATTTGTAGAAGTCCAGAAAAATCTTTTGCAAATTGATAAGTAGGTTTGAAAAATAAATTCTGTTATTTTGTGGCTACAGACAATGAGCCACTCCTTTATTTGAATTGAAATGTGGGAGATTCTTTATATCTGTCATTAAAATAAATTTAACTTAGAATCACATTTTTAAATTGTTGTATCAAAAAGGTTAACACAAATATTCAAAATTGAAAAGCAAAAGTTCAAAAACATTTCTTCCTTTTCCCTGCCCTGGGTTCCCCTCCTCTCTCCTCCCCTCCCCTTTCGCACATATTCTCATTAAATTAATTAAGCCAGGAGGCCATTAGACTGAGATGGCGCTAATGCTATGGTGGCCTATGTGAGCAAACCAAAATCTAAGCCTGTAAATGCCTCAAGATTACAAAACTGAGACCTAAGAACAACCAATCACAGTCAATTAGGGTTTAGACTACAGCCAACCAGTCATTACTCTGCTTCCTCCCCTTCTCTATGGCATTTCCCTACCTCCTGTCAACAGAGAGCACCTAGATGAGGGCCTAGACCTTGACAGAAAAATAGAAACTGGACCATGGGAGATATAACAAGAGGGATAAGGATGGGACCCTGGAAAACATGGGACCCCCAGGAGACACAATGAGATATACTAAGAAAGAAAAGACAATAACAAGAAAAAAAGCCCTCACAGAGGATCCAAATAAGGGATCAGGCAAAAGAAAAGTAACTATAACAAGTGAAAATAAAAATCAACAGGCAACTATAAACCAGAGACATTCTGCAGCAGGGGGAGAAGGATGTAGGGTCAAAACATGGGTGGGAAGAGCACAAAGGACTATGGTGATGTTACACGGGTGAATGGGTGGTGGGAATTTCACTGGGACTAGAGCTGAGATGAAAATGCATGAATTGTACAAAAATGAAAAATTATGTAAAAAGGAAAGAAAAAAACCCATGACGCTATCACTGGTTAATCTGTGTTAGGACATTGGCCAAAGTTGACCAATTAAGATACTGCACAATCACCACAGCTCATCCCCTAGACCCAAAACATGAGCCTAACTATGAAAACCCCAAAGTTGTTTTCTCCAGTGGGAACATTTGAGATGCTCTGTGAAGGAGCTGCTCTGCTATCTGTTCTTCTTTTCTTTTTTTTAAAGATTTATTTATTTTATTTATTTATACAAGCACTGGGGTACAGTCAGAAGCGCGGGAGGGTGAGAGGATTCACCAGAGCCAGAGTGTGGAACAGAACAGGCAGATTGACGAAATGCACTGCTGAGGGGAACAGCGGGCGACAGGAGAGGTCTATGCGCCATGTAGTTCCCTCACCCGGAGGCCGGAGATTGAACCCTCACAGCAGAGGCTGTAGGCAGCTTCACAGCACAGCGCTCAACCGCTGTACCACCAGGGGAGGCCCAATCTGCTCTTGCATAAATCTTTTTAGGCTTGCTTGCTGCTGGCAGGAGCTAGCCTGTTTCTTTAACCCTTGCATTGGAGAGCTGGCCTGTATCTTTATTTTTTTTTTATTTTTTTTAATTTAAATTTTATTTTTATATTCCCCATCAATTACAACCCCCTTATTTTGACCCCAAACCCTCCTTTCCCCGCCCCCCACCCCCAATAGAGTGTCTCTGGTTCATAGTTGTTTGTCAATTTTGATATTTTCTTTCTTATAGTTATTCTTTTTCCTGGTCCCTTATTTAAGTTTTCTAGATTCCTGCTATGAGTGAGACCATCCGGTATTTTTCTTTTTCTTTCTGGCTTATTTCGCTGAGCATGATCCCTTCCAGCGCCATCCATGTTGCTGCAAATTGCATGTGTTTATCTTTTTTGAATGCTGAGTAATATTCCATGGTGTATATGTACTACATCTTCTTGATCCAGTCATCTAGTTTTGGGCATTTGGGCTGTTTCCAAAGCTTAGCTATTGTAAATAGTGCTGCTATAAACATAGGGGTGCAGGTGCTCTTTGGAATTGATGTTTCTGTGTCCTTTGGGTAAATACCTATGATCCAGCAATGGCCTGTATCTTTAAATAAGCTTCCTTTGGCTTTCTTACTGTTGTTTGCATGTGGTGTTTCAATTCCTTGATACACCAGTTCAGCATATCATATATGCCCTGTTACATACTTGGGTGTTCATTCACAACAACCTTGCTCTCACAACCACCAAAGCAAGATTGCCACTTCCAATTTGGTGCTCAAATAGACTCCTAAACTGTTTAATATGACATGGCTTATCTTTAAACTTTCTTCTTTCTGTCCTTGCCTCATGAAAGGTCAGGAAAAACAAAACCTGGGGGATCGTGGGGTGAGAGGAAGAATGGTGTAGCGAGTACTCCCCACACAATCTGAGAGGATTTGACAGGGAAAAATGGGTGACCACAGGCCGGCAGCAGTACTGTGTGTCATTGTCACACTTTCCATGAAACAGCAGTGTTTTGCAGCCCTTCCAAATACTAAGGGCCCAGTGAAGGGAGTACAGTGTTAGCAAAGGTGTCAGAGCTTCACAAACTCCGAGTTTTTCTAGTGTGTTTTCATCAATATCGACCTTTTCCAATTAGGAGACACCGTCTCATATGCCTGCCTCTACTCCCCAGCTATCTGTTCTTGTGTATAAGCTTTTTCCATCAAGTATTTACATTTATGGATTAACCATTTCTTCAGCAACTCTGCATGTTTGATGGCTTGTTACTTATATTTTAGTGTTTCATTTTATGCCCCTGATGAAAAATTCAAGCAGCACAATTCTATTTGGAAGATAGAAGACATTTTTGTGGTACAGCACATGGACCCTCCCCTATGACAGAGGAAAGCTGGGGAAGAGGGATTCTGCAGGGTAAGTCTGGAGGAACTGGGCTAGGGAGAGACAGCAGTGGGTCTTAAATTTTAATGCTAGAATTCTGAGTGATGTGTAGACACAGAAGGATTTTGTTTACAATAAAAGCAGAGTGTCAGGAAATGAAATCTGATGATGGTACATTTTTGCAAAGATAGGTGAGAACTCCCCACCACAGTGGTTGGAGTTTAGAAACACTCATGAGCTGAACTGTTATTCCTCTCTCTGGAACATGGCAGATGGAGTCTGAAGTGCACAAGCAGTGGAGTGGAAAGATTCTTTGTGTTTATGTCATTTAATGCAGTCACCCAGGCCTGTATCCAGAAGACTGCCCTTTCTACAGACTTAAGACCAGAACTTCAGATGTACATAAAGTCATTCTGTAAAATTAAACTCATCTGCGTGTGCCTGAGAGATGTGCAACAAAAGTGTGCCTGCCCATATTAACATGGACCTCAATGTGACGAAACACATGATCTCATTTAACTCTTGCTGTCTTCATACCCAATACTCTTGAAAAGAGAAAAACAACTCGAGTTAGATCCCCAGCCAGCCAGGGAGCAGCAGACCTCTCCTGTCTTGCCGGCTGCTCCCCTCAGAAGTGTATTTCAGTCAATCTGCCTGTTCTGTTCCCCACTCTGTCTCTAGTGAATCCTCCCACCACCCCCACCCTGGCACTTCTGGCCTGTACCCCAGTTCTTGCATGCATGCATTAAAAAAAAAATCTTTAAAAATATAGATTAAGTCGTCTGGTACTTGTCACAAATGCCAGAGACTACTCTGTCAAAGGGGATTTGTTTTAAGTGGAGCACTCTCTCTCTGAGGGTGCTCCACCTGCTGCTTCCCCAGCCCTGAGAATCTCTGTCACCCTCCCTAGATTTTGTCTTCATCATAGTCACCACACTCTGTAGTAATAAAACATGCCATTGTTTAGTTACCTCTAAATAAAAAGAAGTTGTGTGAAAAAAGCAGCCTTGTCTGTCTTGTTCATAGCTGTATCCCTTGGACTTAGCATAGAACTTGTAACAGAGTAAGGGCTCAACGAGTACCTTGAGAACACAGTGGAGGTCTGTGCTCTGCAGTACATGGGTCTGTTTGGTTCTCACCTGAGTATGGTCAGTCACGAATACACAGCTTTGGGCAAGTCACTGCTGGCATTTTCTCAGTTCCATGAATTGTTTGATTAATTTCTAAATTGAAGTTAACTTTAAAAGCTAGGAATTTTATTATCTGACCACATTTTTATAGAACCTAATTTCAGGAGTAACAGAGCTAAAAGGCTTTCTGATGCACAATGAGAGCACAGTAAATTATTGGGGCTTTGCCACAGGGATCCTGAGGGTTCCAAATTCCCACTCCTGGCCTTCCCTCAATCCTGTCTCCTGGAGCCATCTATTCTGCCATTCTTCCCCGCTTCCCTCCAGAACCAGGGGGAAACGAGTGGGAAAAAAAGGATAAGTGAAGGAATTTATTTTCGGAAACATTATGGAACAAACCCTCTTGGGTGTAAACAGCTACTTTTAAACCAACAAATAAAAATACATCAGATAAGAAACTCTCTTAGAACCCAGTCTGACAAACAGACAACTTTTGGACACCTCCAAGAAATCCTATTACTAAGCCATTAATTACTACGTAACTAGAGACTTAGCTAGGTAGGAACAATGCCACAAAAACATCAATTTGTTTACAGAGCAGGAAAGATTTCTCTTCTGATGTGGCAAGATTTCCCAGGGCGCCTTCTGGAGAAGCAGAGGGGGACAGCCTTTCATTGCGAGATCTCTCACCAACTTTGTTTTCCTTTTCCTGAGCAACTTTTAAAGACTTCACTTTCCCAAAAAATCCTGGTCTTTTATTATCAAAAAAGGAATATTTTTCCACCAAGGTATCGTATTACAGGTCTCACGCGTGTGCAAGAACAAGAACGAGAGCCTTTGCCATGCCGTGTAAAATATGTTACGCTGTGTGTATGAGTCTTAACGCGGGACGTGATTCTAAATAGCTTTAAAAAAAAAAAAGACCCCTGGACGTTGATAAAGGCAGGAGCGGAGGAAAAACCAACACTTGTGCCTTTTAATATAGAAATGGTCTGGAAAGCGAACTGAATGCTGTGAAGAGAAGGCGCTCATTGGTTTTTTCCTTCCTTACCAATAAATAACGGCACACACCTAAGAACTAAAATGTCAATAAAGCACGGCCGGTTGTAGAAAAATAAATAAATAAATAACATTTATTTTGTACAAAGCAGCTGCAGTTGGGCGAGTGGCCAGCGGGCAGAACGCGCCCCGACGGGAGCGCCCCGAGGGCAGCACCCGGGTCCTCAGGGGAGCAGGAGGGAGCCCAAGTGCAGCTCGCCCCGCTCCAGGCCGCGGCCCGCGTGCTCCGCTTTGACGCGCACGGCCAGGCGGCGCACTTCGTCCTCCGAGAGCCCGTCCAAGCACAAGTCCTGGTCCAGGACGGCCTTGCGGCTCCGCAGGACCACGGCGCCGCGCTGCCGGCGCGTCTTGCCCGGCGGCTGCAGGACGAAGCTGACGCGGCAGCCGGCGGCGCGGGGCTCGGCGCTGCCTCCGGCCGGGCCCTCCGCGCCGAGCAGCCGGACGCGCAGGCGGCCGCCGGCCGGACTGTACTGCAGGGCCAGGCGCAGGGCTCCCCCGGCGCGGCCCAGAGGCACGGTGCCCTCGGCCTCCAGGAGCTCGGGCAGCGCGGCGGGGGCCGGCGGCGGGCACGCGGAGGGGGCCGGGGGCGCCTCGTCCTCGTCTCCGCTGGAGACGGAGCGCGCGCGAGCCAGGCCGAGGCTCCTCCGGGCCCGCCGCGCGCGGCTCAGCAGCCCCTCGGGGGCGCGCAGGAGGCGGCGGCCGCGGGGCGCAGGCGCGAGCGGGTCCCGGAGCGGGCGGGGGCCGCCGGCGGGGGCGGCGGGGGCCCCGCTCGGGGGCCGGCCCGGGGCGTCGCCGCCGCTGTAGGTGTGGGCGCGGGGGCGCGGCGCGGCCGGGGCGGCGGGCGCGCGCAGGAGGGCGGCGGCGCCGGGGCTGCCGAGGAAGAGCGACTCCTTGCGGCGGGTGTGCGGGCTCTCGAGCAGCGCGCAGAAGCCGTAGGCGGTGCGCGCGCGGGGCAGGTGCGGCAGCGAGAGCGCGGCCTGCGAGCGCGGGTCCCAGTCGGTGCGCCCCGCGCCCTCGTCGGGTCCACCTGGCCACAGGTCCGGCTCGGCCGCGCACCGCCGGGGCAATGCAGCGGCCCGGGGCCAAGACTCGGGCGCGCAAGGGACTGGCAGCCGCGGCGGAATGCAGAACTCGGGGATGCGGCCGGGGGTGAGAACGTTGCAGAAGGCGGGCTGGGGAGCAGAGGCCCGGAGTTTCCCGAGGAGTCGCATCTTCCCACCTGCGACCGGGAGTGGCGGGGGAAAGCGCTCCTGCAGGAGAGAGAAGCTGCTTGAGTTTGGGCGCCTGCAGCCCCTGGGGACGTGGGTGGACCCTTCCCAGCTACGAACTCCAGTCAGCCTCGGCCGAGTTCTGAAGCCCGCAGACACCCGCCCGCCTTCCATTCATTGACACTTAGTAAACTAATAAGTGGAAACCAGACCTTTCCTCTTCAGTCCCTCGGGGTGTCGTTGCCAACTCAGCGCCTGCTGCCTCCTGGTCTAGCGGCGGCGCCAGCTTCAGCACTGCCGCCGGGACAGTGGCGCTCCTCTTATACCCGGAACCCTAGTCCCGCCCAGCTGGCGGGAGGCGCAACCCCTGGAGGCCCTGGACAGCCTGCCTTCCCGGCTCTCCCCCCCACCCCCGCTTCCTGCAGACGCGGGAGGGGAGGCGGCTTGCAGCGGATGCTCTGGTGTGCCTGAGGCGGGGGTCAGGCACCCCCTGGTGAGCCCCGGAATCCGCATCCGTTTTACGGACGAGGAACCACGGACACAGGCTTGTGGAAAGGTTGCAGGGGCTAAGAGGGCGCCTGGGGGCCCTGCCAGGAGAGAACCGACAGTTGAAAATGTTGGCGACTGAACGTGTTGGCGATCTCTTGGAGAAGGTAAAGCAGGATGAGGAAACAGGAAGTTTCTTTTGCTAGAAGCTAAATCCTGTCACCCAGCACGTACCTACATGCCCTGGGAGCCTCGGTGCCCTGCCCCCACGCTCCACAGCCTGTGATCCAGTGTAGTTTCCATGGTACTCGCGTCCTGATTTATTTACACTTCTGTCTCCCTGTGCTGGACCTGTTTAATAGCTTAGGACCTGACTCAGTAAACACCATAAATATGGTGAAGTGGGTGAATGAATGTATACAAAAATTTCTGAATTCTGTCATTTCAATTCTGTCATTACAAAAGATGGGACTTCTAGCACTCGACATTTCCCAGCCACCTTTTTCTGCTCCTGCATGGAGGTATCCAGTTACAAAGTATCTTACAGAAAGATGTAGGTTTCCTCCTTCCAAGCCCCAACTTTTTATTTCCTAGGATGAGGAAACTGATAACCCAGAGGAATTTGGGAAATTCCACAAAGGTTAAATAGAGTTAGCCAATAGAGTAGCCATTTCCTGTTTATTTGGCTTAGCATGTGATACTTCCTGTTATCTGAAAGTCCCTTTCTCTCTTTTCCCCTCTGTAGGAACTCCTGTTTGTTTTCCTTGTATTGGCCAGACCATCATCCCCTTCAGGACCCTTTGTCTAACTCCCACTCCGTGTCACATTCCCTGCACACACATTCTATGAGCCGCTATTGCTGCAATTAGCATGCTGCTTTGGAATTTATGGCTCCCAGGGTTGTCTCCCCCAGTAAACTGGGTCTCAACTGCATGGAGTTTGGGGGAATCTATTATTTATATATGGAAAAATAAAATCACTGTAGCCAAAACCTGGGTCTGCTGCCATCCCAGTTTTCCTATCTTAAAGACAAGCGACAGGCTGTATTATTTATCTCTTATCCAACTCCAGCACCTGGGAATACAATGCCGAGCAAATAGTAAGTGCTCAGTAAATATTTGATGAGTTATACTGTGTTGAATTATCTTGATCTACAATCCAGGTATTATGACTATCAGACTGTTAACCACATATTTCTCTAACTGCGTAATTCAATTTTGTTCTCATAACAAAACAAACCAGGTGGTAGACATTGCTTCTATTTACCAGATAAGAAACTGAGGCTCAGGTTAAGGGACCTTTCTGGGATCATTCAAACTATGAATCATAACCCACATATCATAAGTCCTAGTTTCTTGCTATTTCTTATAATTCTTACCTTCCTTCCTTTTTCCATCTCTTGACTCAATTCAGTATAATTCACCAAATCTGCTGTGTATCAGGCATTTTGTGTCTTGTATACTTCTCTATAACTACAATGTTAATTTTTAAAACGACTCAGTCTGCTATTATGTATTTTCCACTATGTCCAATTACTTCCAAATCTTTAAAGAAAAAGAAAATGTTTCCCCTGAGTTAAAAATGCTTTCTTTCTTAATTGATCACTGGTCTCCTCTAATATTTGCTTTGTTAAATAGATCAGTATGAAGTCAGGGAGTGTAATCATTCCTGCTAAGCCACACTTGCAAGCAGGGGAGTCCCAGGGGTCTCTTCAGGACAACCTGAAGTTCGTGGTCAAATGGTCTTCTCTAAAGCAGAGCACACCTGCATTATGTCCTGACAGTGTGCCAGCTCATACAATTACACCTCAGTGAAAATGGTTTTCACTCTCCTGAGGGTCTTCGTCACATGAACCCACAAACAAATTTTCTTTGTGGGTAAATGTCACTGAAAACACGACTTGTTACCAGCACTTCCATGTTCATAAACAACGTAAGTATGGCTATAAACAAGCCTCTACAGGGCTTTCCAAACCATTAGTTTTCCATGAATCATTATTCTACAGAAAAGAAAATAAGGTACAAGGAAATTAAATTACATGCCCAGGACACACTCCAATCATTCATTTATTTAAACCCATAGCTGCAGGCTGTACCCATAGTTAGAGGCCTGGTTTCTTTCCTGATTCTGAAAATTGCACTGGGAGACAGTGAAAAACAACCCCTTGGTAGAAACCCTGATCTTGCCATTGTTTCCTTATTTGGTGCCTTGTGACAACATAAGGTTCACTGTCATCTTGTATTCAGAGCTTTGAAAGAAAGAAACATTCCTAATAATAACATTACTATTTGCTAAACACTCACTATGGATTGGGTCTTATCTCTGAGCAACCCTCTCACGAAAGTAGAAATGTAGAAACTGAGGGTCATAGATGATAAATAACAGTCTTACATCCAGTAAGAGTGGAACTGGGACTCAACCCCAGATCCAGATGGCACATTATCCTATGTTCTTATGGTACTTTCCTCCAGTATCCCCCGCAAAACCTTTGTTCCTGAACCCATCTTTTTTTGAGGTGACTAGATATATAGAAACCCTAGTTCCAAGGCTTGAGTTGAAACTAACCCCTTGTTGATTATACATGCCCCTATTAGATGAGAGCATGTAGTTGTCACAAACAGGACATCACTAGTCATGCATAGTAGCACTGTACCATTTGTCAACAGAGTCCTTGTCCTCCCAGGGATGTTTTCATGCCCTTTATTTGCACCATACTTGTTTCAAAATAGGATTTGAGGTGATTTGCATGACAAACACCCAGGGAATTTATGACTACAGCCTGAGATGGTGAAAATAGAAAAGATGTACATGGGTCTTTCCGGTGAATGAAGCCATTCACAGCACTGCAGCACAAGTTTGATCCCAGGCCAGGGAGCTGACCCACATGGCACAGGAGACTCCTGTCTTGCTTGCTGTTCCCCTCAGCAGTGTATTTTGGTAGATCTGCCTGTTCTGCTCCCCACTCTGTCTCTGGTGAATCCTCTCACCCCCTGCACCTCAGGCCTACAAACCAGCTCTTTATGCATATATAAATAAAATAAATAATTTTTTTTTAAAAAATGTGCAAACCGGGGCCTCCCCGGTGGCGCAGCGGTTGAGCGCCGGGCTGCGAAGCTGCCCGCAGCCTCTGCAGCGCCGGTTCAATCCCCAGCCGCTGGGTGAGGGTCCCACATGGCGCGCAGACCTCTCCTGCCGCCCGCTGCTCCCCTCAGCAGTGTACTTCGATCCTTCTGCCTGCTCTGCTCCCGGCTCTGGCTCTGGTGAATTCTCTCACCCTCCCGCGCTTCTGACTGTACCCAGTGCTTGTATAAATAAATTAATAAATCTTTAAAAAAAAAAAAATGTGCAAACCTCTGAATGAGGTCACAAATAAGCATGTCAATATTTATGCTCTCGAAATGGGAAGGGCAAAGTGTGAAAGGGCTCCAGCAGAATAGCTTGGGCTGGTGAGAAGTTGTACAGGCTCCTCATGGTCCACCAGCCAGCAAGAGCCAGTTTGAATGTCCATGGTATGGGAATGGCCATGTCCCCTTTACAGAACAAAATACATACATAGCAAATCATCCAGGAGACTGAAGCAGTGCAGAAATAAGTTTCTTGTGGAGCATTCCATGAAAGAGCAAAATATAAAATTATGTATCCCTTCACGTGATCATTGGACAGAGATGTGGTTTGCTAAGTCCCAGACCTGGAAGGAAATATAAAACAACAATGTGTTAGGGTTAGGATCTTTTGATTTTTTTCTTTTTGTGGGTATTGCAATTTTTATTAATTTATACCTTGGTTCACTGAAAGTTAGTTCGAACAAGCTTACAAAAATATATAAAACATGATCAGGTAAAATGAAAACAAGTAGGTAAAATAATTGGGACAGAAAAAAATTAAGGATAAGAAAGATATTGAAAAGCTAGTAATCAGCTTAGAATGGAAAACAAGTGAGGAGTTTTATAAGTGCCACAGCTCTACTGAACAAACCCAGGATCTGGAATCATAACAACTGATTTTGAGCTCCAGTTCAGTAATTGACTTTTTCTGTGTCCTTGAGCAAGTCAAGGAACCTCCAATATGTTTTCATCTGTAAAATGAGAAAGATGATATTCCTCCTAAAGATAGAATGAAAACTTGTAAGTGAAGGTACTTTGTTGGTCATAAACTACAACCCACCCTTTATTTGCTGTTTCTTGAAAGTACTGTAATAACGCACTTTCCTGCCTTTGATTTGTGCTCCCCCCACCATAACCCCGTCACCTTCAAAACTCCCCATCATTCTTCTGGAACGATGCTCAAACATTGCTTCCTCCTCTATGACTGCTCAAACATTGTTATATACCCCTTCCCCTGATCCTTTTAGCGCTAAGGTAAGGCAAGGCAGTGAATTTTGTCATTGACAATCCTGCTTTGCCATTTTCTGTGTGACCTTGATCTCGTTAGTTAAATGCTCTGAGTGCCAATCTTATCAACTAAGTGAGAGTAACAGTACCTACTACCTCAATTTTTCAAGGATTAGAGCTAGGATAAGAAAGCACCAGACACATAGGAGCAAATTCTGATTATTACTAAAATAATCTCTTTGGGTTAATGTCCCCATGTTACACTTTAAAAATTGTTGTATTTTTAAATACAACACATTAAGCATTGACATTCAAAATTATGGCTTATGAAAACATATAAAACAGCTTAAAAAAAAACTAGTTTCTAAATCATGCTGATTTGCAGATTCAGAAATCATGCAGATTTCTTAGTACCATTAAAAAGATGTGTTCATCAAGCTAACAAATGAAAATAAAAAACAACAATCTCTTTTTGTCCTTGAGGGGTGTCTTGATTCTCCCTGTGATTTCTTTCTCCAGATAATTAAGTAGTCTAATTCGTGACTAAGTCTTCAGGTCGTTAGACTCCTTTTCTAGAGGTGGCGCGAGCCTTTTCAGCACCTCAGTCATCTGACTACAACTCCCAGCATGCTGTGTACCAGACATCTAAATGGCGCATTTGCTGGTGGGAAGGAGGAAGGAGTAAAGTAGCCACTGGCCGGGGGAACAGGAGCAGATTCCTGTGCAGATGCATTTGCTGGTCTTTGCTCTTTGTGGCTTTAATGTTCTGGTCCAACTGTCTTCAGAGACAACGGCAGCCGGCAGCCGTGTTGCCCCCTTGATGGGCTCGGCTTATGTGGTGCATTTGGCACTCTGCATCTCTCTCCCTGCTTACTGAGTCCTACTGGGCCTTCCTGCCAGAGGTGCTTGGACTTGTTCTGGCAACTTTGCTTTTGAGTCTTGCCCTCACAGCTCTGGGGCCTGCCGTTTTAGTATCCTGTGGCATATCGCTAACCTGGGAGAAGGTCAAAATGTAAGTTGGGGACCATCTGTAATGTGGAAAAAATATCTTTAAAAATGGCACTAAAGGGCCTCCCTGGTGGCACAAGGGGAGCAATCCGCAGCCTCTGCAGCACGAGTTCGATCCCTGGCAGGCCAGTAGGGCTTTAAATGGGAGTTTGTGTATTAATAGTTGTACTTCAAAGCCTGGGAGAGGTAGGAGAGGCCTAGTTATGAGTAAAAGATTGCTCTTGAAAGCAACAACCACTAGCCACATGTGACTACTGAGCATCTGAAATGTATCCAGTTCCAACTGACATATGATTTAAAAATAAAAGACATATAATGTTTTAAAGATTTGTTATTTAAAATGTAAAATACCTCAATATTTTAAATATTATATCTTTAATAATCATAAATGGTCAGACTGGATAAAAAAATTAAGCTAATCACATGCCACTTATAAAAGAACCGGTATATGAAATATAAATGCCAAATATTAGTAAAAGAAAATAAAAATGTGTACAATTTTAGGTATAGCAGGTAAAAATAAAATAATTTCATCTTTTTTTTGGTATAGTGCTCATTCGGATACTTGGCAGTTCTCTGAAATATCCCCTCAAAAATAAAACCAAATGCAAAACCACCTGACAGGAAACTTGCCAGACGTAATTTCACTTAGTGCTTTCATAGGACAACCACTGAAAGGAGTAGTTGGTTGTCAATGAGCACATCAAATGAACTGTGGGGCCTGCAAGACAAAATACAACCCATACTGCTTAATTGGTGCACAGTTGATTCATGAGCAATGCTGGGATTACGAGTTCCAATCCTTACACAATTGAAAATACTTGTGTACTTTGTGAGTCCCCCAAAACTTACCCACAGAAGATTGGTTTCAGGACCTCCACAGATAACCAAAATTCAAAGATGCTCAACTCACTTTAGTTCCTCTGCATCCACAAGTTCAGCCTCCGGGGATTTCAACAACCAACACCCACAACTGATTAAATCTGTGAATGTGGCACCTTGGGTAGAAAAATGTCCTCGTATAAGTGGACCTGTGCAGTTCAAATCTGTGTTGTTCAAGGGTAAACTGATATGATAATATATATAACTGAAATCTGTCAAGTCAGGACAAGGTAAGGAAACAACCTATTGTAGAAAGTCATTAACATCTTCTGGGGAAAGTCTCCAAACCCATTATCTGCTGCACAACTGCCTCATTGCATCACATATTATATGTTGAGTTGAATTGGACATTTGACAGAAGGATTCTGACCCATTCTCAAGGAAGGAAATCACTGATTTGGGAAGATGTCTCTTCATGACATAGTATATTGTCTTTGGATAATTTGTTTCTTGATTTTTTTTTTAAAGATTTTACTTATTTATTTATACAAGCACTGGGCACAGTCAGAAGCGCGGGAGGGTGAGAGAATTCACCAGAGCCAGAGTGGGGAGCAGAACAGGCAGACGATGAAATACACTGCTGAGGGGAGCAGCGGGCATGGCAGGAGAGGTCTGTCGTGCCATGTGGGACCCTCACCGGCGACCAGGGATCGAACCGCCGCTGCAGAGGCTGAGGGCAGCTTCGCAGCCCAGCACTCAACCGCTGCGCCACCAGGGGAGGCCCTTTTTCTTATTTTTAATAATGTTTTTTTAGTGTCCAAAATTAAGATGTAGCCAATGGTTACTCCAGCCTGCAGATGTTTATATGGAAAAGCACAAACAAGTTTACAATTTATACAAATCAATTAAACCGGGATAAACTCTTTTATAATACTAGATAATGTGCATTGAATTTCAGAGGACATTAATTACAACTCAATTATCATTTCATCTTCTCAGTGGTCTATGAGGTATTTTGTTTTGTATCAGTAATTATCAACAGAGTGAAATTTGGTCCCCAAACTAACTCCCAAATTCCTATGAGCAACAACTTTTCTTAGAACAATGAGGTGATTACTGGCTGGTTACTATTCCCCAAATTCTTTTGCATCTAGATTTTAGAAATTCCTCTGATACTAGAAAGTCATTCACAATAAGCTGTAATCAATTATGGGTGATTGACTACTTAGCACCATGTTTCTCAAACTACCCTCTCTGGAACTATGAAATTATACACATTTTCCAGAAGTTTTACGAAAAAAATTTCACATGAACTAGAATATACAAAAAAAAAAAAAAAAACCCAAAAAACCCAAAAAACTAAAAACATGGATTTTGAAAAGTGCAAAACCCCAAGAAATTTCAGCTTACACCAGTTCTCCAGATCTTGAGTGGTACAAGCTAGCTAGTGTATGGTACTTCTGATGTGTCCACACTCAGCCTGAGAAGCCTTGTCCAAGGGTAGGCAGATAACCTAGGAGGAGATGGTCACAGGCTTCTGGGGGACAAAGGACAAGGAAGGGTTGGAGTGAAAAAACCCAAAGAGAGGTATCACTTAGGTTATCAGTTTCCTTGGTATTAGATAAATTTCAACAACTTAGTTCATAATCTGCCACTAGGTATTGTAAAATCAGAGATGAGTCTTATTAGTTTGTATTTTCCCAAAACTCAGTTTAGGAGAGAAAACAGACCTATTAGATCAAAGTATGGAGGTCTGTGACAAGTGTTTTGAAATACCCAAAGCAGATCAGTTTTGTTTGTGGGAGACAGGAAATAGTGTAGGAAAGAGTGGTATTTAACATGGAACTTTAGAGATAAATGACATTCACCAGGTTCAACCACATTATTCCAAGTGGTGTACCTACCATCCATTCATCTGAACTTCAATGCTGGTAGCACCCAGGAAGGATCACCCAGTAAACTGTCCATAGCATAGTAACTGGAGATAGTCTCTACACTTCTATTTCTGCACTAGAATATTCTTCTAAGTCTATTTCTTAACTCAGAGAAATACAAAATGTTCAACATTTGGTCAGGGCCCTGTCTCATCCCTGAGACTTTCTGAGATTTGCTAAAGAACAAAATTTGCTGCTTAAGGAAATTTTAGTGGAGGTGAAGAGTTGTGAAAACAGATTTTTCCCCTCCATAATAAACATTAGAAAGGATAAAACTTGGTTCAACTTTTTCTTCTTAAAATGCCAGATTTTTACGGGATGGTATCATTTATATGTGGAATATGGAGAAACCAAACAAAGGTTCTGATAAAACCAAACTGCCCTTAATTCTTGAAATTTGCCTATAGAACTGAGACAATCAGAGGAGGCGGGGAAAGGGGTTGAGAACCAAGTTGGGAGGGGGCACAACAGGTCTGTGGTGGTGGACTATGGGTACACTATATCAACAATATCTGAGGGGGGAGATCCTACACTTCTGAAATACAAACAATGATGTAAACCAACATTAACTTTAAAAAAATTTTAATGCCAGTTTTTCTGCTATTACAGTGTTTCTTCAATACAATTTCTTCAAAGAATTTTGGTCCAATCTGCTGTGATTTGTGCCTCCACTCTTTAAAGTTCCATGTTCCATAAAGTGGCTATTTTTAAGAAAGCAGTGGGCAAAGGAAGGGACTTCCCAGTAAGTAGTGGCCAAAATGATCAATAAGTCTTCTAATGAAAGAAAACCAAGATTATAGAATTTGTTCTCTGCAGGAGGAGGTGGGGAGTTATCTTGTCCATGTTTTGCAAAATCCCCATATTACTTATAAGTACTAATGCTGATATACTGAAATTACATTGAAGTGATATTCTGTCCCACTCCATCCTTATCTCACAACCAACAGATAAGCAGCAAAAATCTTAATGAAAATTGCAGTAGAGGTGCTAAATTTTAAGCTTCCCCCTGACACTTCCAATTTTGTAATTTTATTTCTTTCATTACACAAAGTAGAAGTTTAATGACTTTGTCTCCCTGGACAAATAGAACTTCTCAGTGCTTCAGTTTTATCATTTGCAATCATTGGAGTGAAGATACCTAACACCAGCGTTGTTGTGAGGATTAAATAATGTTGTATCAATCATTTAGTTATATTGTATCAATCATTTAGTTATATTGCCTATGTAGTAGAATGGGCTAAGTAAATGGAAGCTCCTATTCTGTGATGGGAAAACATTGGACACAAACATAAGTTGTTTTTCATTGATGACAGGGATGCTTTAGCAAAAGAAAAAAGCCTCTATAAAATCACAATTAGGCATTTGCCTTGAGTCATTTTTCCTGATCATAGCTGCAAATAAAGCATTATTCTTATGATTCAAAGCAGGTGGAGATGAGCCAGTTTGAAGAACCCCACCTTCCTTCCCCTTTGAATAGCAGAGACCCAACAAAGCTGTAAGGATTACTGTCCAAGGTGAAGATGGAATCTGGATCCATTGGAATTCCTGGGATTTCCAGTTCTGGTAGGAGAAGATATGGTCATTTTACTTATATTTGGTATCTGCAATGTAGAGGCAACTTGGGCAAGGAGAAAGCACCTGGGAGGCTGGGTATGCTGCACATAACTGTTGAGAGCAGCACTGACCTTCACTGGAGCAGGGGAGTAAAGGATGAGTGGAGTGACATGTGTGGTTGCCTGAATTTGAAAATTTAGCATCTGAATAGAGGCATCTTCAAAGAAATCCATTGGGCTAAAGACCAAAGCTACCCACATGCCTCTGACCCTATTTCTTAAGAGTTATATCTTGGGGTCCTGGGACTGTTGTAAATAGTGAAACACCTCCAATGATTGATACAGAACACTTCTAGCTACCTTTGCAGGTGAAGGCTCTAAAATGGTTTTGTAACCCAAGGTATGAAGGAACCATTATCTATACATATGGAATATGTATAGATGATTCAATTTGTATTGTTTTTGAAAGATATTTTATACAAACAAATACTTTGTCCGATGGTATGTTATCAAAGTACTCTTTATTAAAGAGCCTTAGTATCACAGTGAAGAGCTCACATTGTGAGAGGGCAGAGAGCTCAAGGTTTTAGTGCAGCATTTATACACCTTGGTGCTGAGCATACATTGGAACCATTTGTTCCATGAGTGGAAATGTACATATTTAAACCCTACATGACATAACCACGTAACCCACACTTCACCACAAAACCACACTTGTCCTCCTTATGGAGAGACAGCGAAATATCTTATCATGGGGTCCTGTTCTCAGTTTCTCTCGTCGTTCATGTTTGTTGTGAAAATCCTCGTGGAATGGGACCTGTGGGAAACAGCAGATTTCTTATTAAGTAAAAGCACACCTATGTAATAGATCATTAAAAATCAATGTTGCAGAGGACCTCCCCTGGTGGTGCAGCGGTTGAGTGCTGGGCTGTGAAGCTGCCCGCAGCCTCTGCAGCGCCAGTTCCAACCCCAGACCGCCAGCGAGGGTCCCACATTGTGCGCAGACCTCTTCTCCCACCCGCTGCTCCCCTCAGCAGTGTACTTCGTCAGTCAGCCTGTCTGTTCCCCACTCTGGCTCTGGTGAATCCTATTACCCTCCCGTGCTTCTGACTGTACCCAGTGTTTGTATAAATAAATAAGTAAACTTTAAAAAAAAATTTTAAAACTCAATCTTGCAGAAAAATATAAGCTGAGAAAAAAATCTATAAGCAGAATTATACTGTGATCAAATTTCTGTAAATAATGTGTGTGTGTGTGTGTGTGTGTATGCATGCAAACACTGTGGGATAGCCATTAAAAGGTTATCAGCAACTTGCCTCTGAATGGTTTGGATTATAGATGATTCTAATCTTCCTCTATTTTAGAGTATGTATTTTTCTGTATTTGCCAAAAGGACGGTATATTACTTCTACAGTAGAACCCTCCCCCACCATACACACACATTAATAGTAGATACTCCTGGTTAGAGATAACACTGAAGCTATGTTAAGTAGACAATACACTTCAGGAAACAATAACTGAAGATATCAAGATGAGACTTCCCATGGAAAGACTCTGAGTCTTAGACACTGAGTACTTGAGAAAAGACAAATCTGGGTAAAGGAAAGGCTTTAGAAACCTGGAAGAGTACATGAATTCTTTAAAAACTTGAAAGCAAAATGGCTGATAACTGTGTAGTTTTCTCTCATGCCTTCATATGTCAAACACTGAACCCCTTGCCTGGTAAAATGAGAGCTACATACTTAACTGTGCATAAAGCCTTTCAGCTAGAGGCTTGATTAGAAAGCATTGCATATATGTAGAACCACGAGCCTATAAGAGAACCAAATAAAGTCCAGCCCATGGCAGTGCATGGAACTAGCCACCGGATTAACTCAGTAGGAGGCTCTGTCTGGAACTGACCACTGGACACATGGATCCCTGACCATTCCAAAGGAAGAAAATCCATGTCCTTGAGAAAACATGCATTAGGGAGAATAAGTTTGGGAGGTAGTTTACAATGAATGACATATTTTGGCTTTGGTTATGTTGTTCCTTGATCTTTGAAAGTATTCAGTGTCATCATTAATAAGCAATCAGTGGTTATCCAACAGAGACCTTTGGAAAAACAAAAAGTGGGCAATATTGGGCCAAAAGAAAGTGAACTAGGGAAAGTTCTTTTGACTACACCAAATTACAAGTCTGTTCTGAAGTCATCACTGATCAAGTTTTGAATTTTTTTTTTTTAAGATTTGTTTATGCATATAAGAGCTGGGGGACAGGCCAGAGGTGTGGTGGGTGAGAGGATTCACCAGAGACAGAGTGGGGAACAGAGCAGGCAGATTGAAGTACACTGCTGAGGGAAGCAGTGGGCGAGTCAGGAGAGGTCTGCTGCACCATGTGGGTTACTCCCTGGTCGACCAGGGATTGAACTCGTGCTGCAGAGGCTGCGATTAGCTTCATAGGTTGTGTCTTAACCCCTTGCGCCACCAGGGAGGCCCCAAATTTTGAATTCTTTTTTTTTTAAAGATTTATTTATTTATTTTATACAAGAACTGGGGTACCGGCCAGATGTGCAGGTAGGTGAGAGGATTCACTAGAGACAGTAGGGAACAGAACAGGCAGACTGATGAAATGCACTGCTGAGGGGAGTAGCGGGCGTGACAGGAGAGGTCTGCCGCGCCATGCAGGACCCTCCCTGGCTGGCTGGGATCCAACTGGCTCTGCAGAGGCTGCAGACAACTTCATAGCACAGTGCTCAACTGCCTGCGTGACCAGGGGAGACCCAAATTTTGAATTCTTAAAGTGATATTAAATCAAGATTTAAAAAGACATTGGTTTATACTACAAATTAAAATTGAACACTGCATTAATAGTGCTTAAGTCATGTAGTTCATTAAAAAGGTGTCAAATTAGACTATTCTGTAACATCTCATGTCCATCAGTCTTTGTGACAACCTAGAAGTACTGGGGAAGAAGACTGTGTGGAAGCTGAGGGAGGAGGACTCATGTACTAGAGCACATCCTAGAGCAGCCAGATTCTGGCTTCCCCACTGGATGAACGTCTTAGTTATCTAACCACACGTAATTCCCTCAGCAACTGGTAAGAAAGGTATTAGTAACATTATGGTCTCCATTCTATAGACACGGAGACAGGCCCAGAGGATAAAGCCCTAGAACAATGCTATGATGCAATTACTGCTGCTGAAGTGTCAGTTATATGTATTTAGAGGGAGAATTAAAGACTGAACATCTAGCCAGGCTGTACCTTGTCTATGTCCAAAGAACCAAGTCTCAGTCAGGGTTACTTTCAGAGAAGCCAAGTCTTCTTCTGTAATCTGAGAAATCAAGAATAGTTCCCATCAATTCATCTCTAGCCTAATAAAGAAATTGACATCATTAGCTGCTGCTTCCTATCACACATTTTAATCAAACTTGTTTTAAAAATTCCCAGTTTAGGGAACAATGCTGCAGATGAGGAGAAATTGCTATCCTTGGCTTAATTGTGCCATATACAATATATGAAAATGTAATGTTCCTTTTGGAATATTTTGTAACAGTATTCTAGAATGAGGTGTTGGCAAAGGCATTTCTTCTTCTTCTTTTTTTTTTTTTTTTTTTTTTGGAGGGGTAAAGGGCCAGTAGTGGCTATTTTGTGCCTTGCTGGCCACATTTGTTGTTGTTGCTTCTGCTTCTTTTTACAACTATCTTGCTAACTGTAATAATGAAAAAAACACTTTTAGCTCACTGGTCACCAAAAAAAAAATTGATGTAAGCTAAGAATAGTCTATTTTTTTAAAGAAATGTTAAAAATATATAAAGAAGTGGCAGATACTGCATGTAACCTGCAAAGCCTAAACTATTAACTCTATGAAATATTACAGAAAAATATATACTACAGAAAAAGTTTGCTGACTCCTAGAGAATTACAAGATAAAGGTATTATTCTAAAAAATTTAACCCATTTCCCACTTATTTCTAGTCCAAGGAGTTAATTTTTTAAAAAAAATTCAGAGGATACAGAAAAGGCATTTGACATAGACAAAATCCAACATCCATTCCTGATCAAAAAGTCAGTAAAGTAGTAAGAGAATTTCCTTAATCTGATTAAAGGATATCTTAAAAAAATCTAACATTACATTTAATTACTAAAGACCCAATGCTTTTCTCCTAAGTTCAGGAATAAGAAAAACATGTTCCCACTCACTATTTCTATTCAACACTGTGCTGGAAGTTCTAACCAATGCAATGAGGTGAGAAAATGAAAAGACCGGGCCTCCCCGGTGGCGCAGCGGTTGAGCGCTGGGTTGCGAAGCTGCCCTCAGCCTCTGCAGTGCCGGTTCGATCCCCGGCTGCTCCCCGGCCACCGGAGGAGGGTCCCACATGGCGCGCAGACCTCTCCTGCCGCCCGCTGCTCCCCTCAGCAGTGTACTTCGGTTCTTCTGCCTGCTCTGCTCCCTGTTCTGGCTCTGGTGAATTCTCTCACCCTCCCGCGCTTCTGACTGTACCCAGTGCATGTGTAAACAGAACAAACAAACAAATAAATAAATAAACATGCCTCTATAAAAAAAAAAAAAAAAAAAAAAAAAAATGAAAAGACCTCCAGGTTGGAAGGGAAATAATGGTCTAATTACAGATGAAAGGACTGCCTGTGCAGAAAATCTGATGGAGTCTTCAAAAGCTTTAGTATAACTAATAAGTAACTTCAGCAAGTTTGCAAGATATAAGATCAATATGCAAAACAATTGTCTTTGAAATATCAGTAGCAATCAGAGATTAAAATTTTTAAAATACCATTACTACCAGTAAGAAATATAAACATTAAGAAATACCAACTATTTGGTATTTTACGAGAGATATGCAATACTTGTAACTGAAACAGCAAAAAAAAAAAAAAAAGAGAGAGAGAGAGAGAGAGAAATAGAACTACATATTTGTGGGTGATGATCGTTGACAAAATTTTAAAAGCAAATCATGGAGAACAATAGATTTCTCAATAAATGGTGTTGGAACAGCTAGATATCAATATAAAAAAAAAAACGAGCAATACTTTAAAAGTACAATATACACATTTTTATATCATACACAATTCAAAATGAACACCATAGACTTAAATGTAAAATTTACAACTATAAAAATTCTTGATGAAAGCATAAGAAAACCTTCATAATTTTGAGATAAGCAATGATTTAATACTACACCAAAATCAAAGCCCATAAAAACACAATGATAAACTGGACTTTATCAAAATTTAAGCTGTCTACTCTTTAAAAGATGGCATAAAATGAAATGACAAGTCGTATGCTGAGAGAAAATACTGCATGATGCAGCTGGAAAAAAAGTTTATATCTAGACTATAAAAGGACTCGAATTCAGTAATAAACAAAGGACAGGGAGAGACCAAAAATTTGAACAGACAATTCACCAAAGAACCTATGTGACTAGCAAACATTACCAAAACATCACTAATTACTAGAGAATTGCAAATTTAAACCACAATGAGATAATTTTAAACTCACTAGAATGGCTAAAATTGGAAAGACTATTATCAAGTGCTAGTAAGAAGAGATGGCTCATACCCTACTAGTGGGAATGTAAAATGATACCATCACTTTAAAGAACCATTTGGTAATTTGGCAGTTAAATCTATACTTACTGTAATGATGAGTCAATTATTTTACTTACACAAATAGTCTCAATCCAGGTGTTTAAAAAACAGATTTTAAAAAAGCCCCACTAATAATGAACCCTAATGTAAATGATGGACATTAGCTAATAATAATGTATCACTAGTAATTTTTAAAATGCACAAATATTTAATGCTTAAAATTCCCCATGAGGGGGTAGGAATTCCAATCTACCCTAAATGTTAAAATTCTCCAAACAACCTTGATACCCCTAGGACTTACTTGTGTCTTAAGGCATTTTTGGAGGGCAGTATTTTCCTGAAGTACACAAACCACCTGTCGTGGCAGATGAGAAGATCCCAGGCATTTGATCCTGTGAGTACTGGACTGTTCTGTGAGTGCAGGGAAGATGCTGTATTTTCTCACTCAGGGGCAGCTTGCATGCTGGCAAATCAGTTCCAGGGTAAAAGGTGAGTCTGTCCATCAGAATCTCAGGTGCTAAGAAGCAGTTCACCAGCAATTCCTGTCCTGATAACACTGGATCTCCAGCACCTTGAACTTCCCCTTTTCACCAAGGATGGGCCCCTTGAATTCTCCCTGCCTCCTTCTCACTCTTACTCTTTCCTCTTATACAAAGCCTGCTTTGTTGCTACCACAAAGAGACTCCATCCAAGTCCAGATTTGCTGTCACTTTCCTAGAGAATTCAAACTAGGAGCTTTAGAAATCATCTTGGTGAAATCCTTCACTTTACAAATGAGGTAACAGCCTCCATGAGGTAGGTAACTTTCTTAGGGCCACAGTTAACAATTTTACTCCCATTTTAGCATTACAATTAGATCATCAATGGCTACCGTGACCATATCTTTAAGACTTGAACTACCAATTGCAAACGTGTATACAGTCATCAGACCACATTAAGAATTTCACTAAAAAACATTGCAACTGCTGCTGCAGACATGAAGAAGAAACCTCTGGAAGTTATTGAATCCAACATTCCAACAATGAAGCACTGTACTTTTTAACTTTTACTAGTAACGGACCTCCTTTAGAAAGCTGATCAAAGTTATGGACCTTCACACAAAAATATTTACATAGAAATAAAATTTTGCTACAGCAGTTTAACTATACATGACAACAAAAACCCTTGCTCTGATGTGAAAATGCCAACATATCTGCTCTGTAACCAGAGAATATTTTTTAATGGCTCTTAAATTTCAAAAAATTGCAAAAATTTACATGATAGATTAACAGAGCACGTTTAATTCTCACAACAACCCTGTGAGGTAGGTATTAATATTCCAGTTTTTCCTATGAAACCACAAGCCAAAGGTATCTGCAAATCTGCCAAAGTTCACAAGGCTAATGGCAGGCCAAGACTTGTTGGAACACAGGAATTTTTTTTTTTAAATCATTGTTCAAATCATCTTGACATCTAATATTTTTAATTTTAGAGTCAGTCAAACCTTGACTCCCTAGCTACTCAGGGAAAGCTCAATGGCAAGTCCTTTAAAAGTAGTTCTCTTTAAATCGAGCAAAACTGTTGAAGGGACTATGACAGATTCCAGATTCCATCACATCATGCTATTTATGATTTGCATTCTCCAGGCACTGTTGCCAGGCAAGTTACCAGAAAGGATGTCATTAGAAAAACAGGGTTTTGAGTTCAGAAAACTAAAAACCATTTAAAGAAAAATAAGACAAAACAAAACCAGATACCAGAGATGCTAAGACACGAGCGTTTTTTGTTTTTTCTATCATAGTTGTGAATTATCTGACCTTTTCCTAAGGAAAAGCTGAAAGTTAGTTGGGAGAAGAGTTAAAATCATCTTATAACAGGCAAAATATATAACAAAAGGGAAATATAAAGGCCAGAAAGCAAACTTCCTAATTATGAAAGATTAAGGTGCTGGGAATTTGCTAACTGGCCATCATCTCTGGGAGTGAAAAACCAGGTGAGACCCCTAATCCTACAACTAGAGATTTCAGAATCTCCACAGTGTGTGTCCTTATTCTTGATGACCTGAACTCCTCTCTTGGCTGTTTACATAAAGAAACAGAGAATAGCAAGCTCTGTGACTCCACATCTTCATTGCTGTGGTCATAGAGCCAGGCTCGGGTCAGTAGAAACTAAATGTTATCCAAGGATCGTCGCAACTTTGTGGGAGTTTCAGTGGCCCATGGCAAATGAGAAAAATATGGTGGTACTGCTGTTTTAGTAAAGGTATCTGTCCAGCTTAAAGCACTGTCCCTTTATAGGAACTTGGTCCACCAAGCACTTCAGATGTTAGCTAAAATGACAGTAATTGAACTAACGTCCTGCACCCAGCTTTGTCTGTGAATGGTGTCTATAAAGCCAGTGCCTTGGTTCTTTTGTGCCCCAGCAGCCTTAAACCCCTCACAAGCATCAGCTAATACTTTCTAAATAGATCACATTGGAAAGGGTTCCCAGACCCAATCCTAAACTGTCAACCTGTCTACCCACCCAACAACTCTGGAAACTCATAGCTACTCTTCAATGCCTTTTTATTTACAGTTCAAACCTAGATGTGTAACAAATCTTGACTCAGAAGACCCACATTCTGGGAACTCTGCACCCTGCACCTTAAGGGTATGGAGTTTTTTTTTAAGATTCTATTTTTATTTTATTTATACAAGAATCGGGGTACAGGCCAGATGTGCGGGAGGGTGAGAGGATTCACCAGAAACAGAGTGGGGAACAGAACAGGCACACGACCGAAATACATTGCTGAGGGGGGCAGTGGGCAAGACAGGAGAGGTCTGCCGCACCATATGGGCTGTTCTGTGGCCAGTGGGGATCAAACCGGCACTGCAGAGGCTGTGGACAGCTTCATAGCACTGTGCTCAACTGCCTGCACCACCAGGGAAACCCGGGTATGGATTTTTTTTTTTTTTTTTTGATATGGACTTTTTTAACCAGTACAAAAGTACCTTTCCAAAGAGGCTCTCTCATCCAGAGTAAAGGTTTTTGTTCTGTCCTACCCCAGCTTCAGCAAAGACCCTTAACTCATCTTTAAATATCAGTGGCCTCTTCTAAGACGGATATTTGTTTCCTGGTCCTTGGGCTTCTTGGACTTCAGGGGCCCCTGAAGTTTGGATTACTAAAATGTTTTACATTAGTTTCTTTATTTTTTGTTATTTTGTGATAAAGGTGTTCCTTCTTTATTTTGCATTTTCCAAGTAACAATTCCCTTTTGCATCCAACATGGCAGCCAGGAGAGAACCCAAGGAGAGTTGCAGCTGGACAACTCAGCAGCACTTTTGGGAAAGAAGAGGTGCCTGTGGTGTGGCCCTGGGGACACAGGAAACATCCTAACCCTGACATGCAACACATTCCTCCCTAGTACCTGTATAGCCCAGTTACCATCACCCAAAGAGAAGCCATGAGAATCTGAATTCCTAGCCCTCACGTCAGGTGATCTACCTTCAAACCAAGAGCAGTTACAAAAGTAACTACAGAACTCATTCTGGATTGTGGGGGTCTCCATTATCCCATCCTCTCCTTACACATATACAGAAAAGGCAGTCCTTGGAAACCCACTTTATACCCCAATCCCAGCAGTCAGCCGTGGCACTAGGTCCCCACCACACAGGAGTTCTTCTAGAGCCAGAAAGAAGTCCTGTTCATCTTTCATCCTCAGTGCCTAGACAGGACATGGCAATGTAGACACTCAATTTTGTAGGAAGAAAGGAGGAAGGGAAAAAAGGAGGAAAAGAGGCTTTGTCTGTTTTGTGTCTCTGGTTTTTTAGAAGTTTCTGTCACTGCCTTTCATCTCTTCTTAATTCTTTGTTTTTCCCCATCTATCTTATCTCTGCTTAAATTGATTTTGTTTCTCCTTTATCTCTGTTGCCATAGCCCAACTTCCCTAACATTTAAATTTTTTCTATTATCTCACAGTATGTTTCTCCTTTACTTACTCTAGTTTTGACATCCCTTTTCTGCCTCTTCTATTTTTTATTGTAAGGCTCAGACAGACCTAAGGTTAAGTGAAAGGGGAGGCACTAGATAAGAAGAAGAGTTATCATCTGACCAGCCACAAAGGCATGGTCATAGGTCCAGTAAATAGAAGTAAACTCCTTTCCCCCATGCCTTATCCCAAAGGATAAGACATTTCGTTCGGGTGTTTTCTAACTTACTCTCTGGCTTCATCAATGTCACCTCAAAAGCTCTTCCAATTACCATCAACCTAGGAACTGGATTGGGGATTGTTCCCCACCAACAAGTAAACAACTGCTTTGTCTTTTGGCACACTGTTCCAAAGAGACAGCTCCAAGACCTGTTTTGAGCGAATATCCCAATTAGCATCCCAAGCCTGGAGAAGTCCTTGCTGAACATTTGCCGCTTTCATGGTCCTACCCCATTTTCTCATCATATCCCAATTTTCCAGAGATGGTACCTCTGCAAGTTCCCTCTTCCAGACTTCAATCATGGGAAGGGGTTAGGCTTCCTCAGAGGATCTCTTGTCCTAGAGGAAGGGATGCAACTTAGGATGCTTCCTAATCCAACCCCTGTGTGCCTAAGAATTCAGTACTCTACCACCTAGGCTTTTAGTGTGGTGATAAACTGCGTAAGCTAATTCTAGGCACTTTGGTGATGCTAAAAAGGAGGGAAAAGCTAGGAGATCAAAGAAGCATTATTACCAAAAATGACTTTTCCACTTTAGAACATTACACACCTTATACATTTCCTATTAGGAAGAGTATCTGAGCAGACCATGGAGATGCTATTTATGGTGACTACCTGCCTAACTGATAATCACCTATCATCTTCCACCTAAGACTCCTTCCTGGCGACTGACACCAATTGCCAGATCTTATATACTGAAAAGTATTCAATCTCAAGATTAGATCCCCAATTCTCAACACTTTTTAAAATTCCATTTGGACAGCTGTTTAGTTATCTTTGCAATATTGTTCCTATCTTCCAAGACCACTTATAGTCAAGGTACTAATTCAGGAGAAAGGAAGAAATATTTTTTTTTTTCTAATTTTAAATGTGTCCCTTAAGTCAGGACTATCAATGCAGTGATGTCCCAACCTCTCTTGTTAGGTTCCCAAAAACTGTGGTAAGTCTTCTGTAATTACTACTGCCCATGGATTGAACATTCATATATAGGTGTAACCTGTTATAAAGTAGATCTTAAGTGTACCCCCACCACAGGAACTTAAAGGTAGCCCTTCTTACTACGCCTGGTTTTCTTTTACCTAAAATCTTTTTCACATCCCCAATCCTGGACTAAGGATAAACACTCTTCCCCAATCCCACACAATGCTCGGCTACTATGGTGGGCCCACACCCAAATTCAGTCTAGTACCATTTCTGGCTTCCAATTTAGGACCACCACAAATGTCTGCCTTATTACCAGACTAACTGCAGAGCCTTTAGCAGCTCGACACCGGAATTAACCGATAAGGCAGAATGCTGCACTAATTAGAAAGCAAAGGGAACTCTTCAGTGAGGGCGGGGAAACTCAGGAAAGGCAATATTCATTTAATTCCTTGAACGTAGCAACGCTCTTAACTGCTTAGTGACTTCTCCAATGACATCAAAGTGATTTTAAAGTCACTTTGGGAATTAGTTTTCCTCCTATCCAGTAAGAAGGGGATACACTATTATATCACAGATGAGAGACTGAGAGGGCTTTGATAGGGAAAAGAAAGGAACAGAAGGAAAAGAGCTAAGTCCTGGATGGTAGACACCCTTGGGCCTGTCTGGTGGTGACAGGAAACTGAGTTGGGCTCAGGGCCTGGATAGGTAGAACCCTAATTGTTTCTAGGCTTCATTAAATTCATGACTGGGGTCTCAAGGAGATCACTCACAAAACAGGAAGCTTGTCTGCTCCCTTCTTGTGGTCAGAAGCCACCCCCCCCAAAATTCCTCAGCCTTGAATTAAGAGGTTATATGCCAGGTGGCAGCTGAAACTCAGTATTTACGGACATAACTACAAATTCCATCCAATTTAATATCCACTGTAGACTCCTCTCCACTTCCCAATACAGGGTTTGAAATTTTTCAGGCGTTTCCCCCCCACCCCCCCACCCCACCCCACCCCACCCCACCCCACCCCAAAGGCCATCAATAGGCCAGTCACATTATTTAAGAAAACTCGAGCAGCTCTGCTCTAAACATCCTAGAGACAGAAATTTTTTCCTAAGGCCACTGTCACCACAAGAATATATGGCTCTGCTACAGTTCAAGGTCGCAGTAACAGTTCAAGTTTTGGGCTCTCCAACCCTACAGAGCCCCCCAACCCTTCTGCTGCGCGCGCCAGGGCGTTCGCTCAATGTGATGCCCACAACCCTGGGCGCGCCCGCCCCCGAGCCTAACCGAAGGAAGCTGGGGCAGCCGGTGGCCAACGCCTTCAACGGCTGCCAGGGGGTTCCCAGACAAGTGAGCAGGGGCACCGCGGGTGATGACAGCGCGTCAGGCTGGCCAACAGCTGCAGCGAGTGGCTGCTCTCCTTGGCAGCTCCTCCCACCCGCTTGTACTCAGCTTCTGTGCATCAAGCCCCTGCTCCGAGCGTTACTGGACTCTGCCCTGGGGCTGCAGGACGCAAACGTTGGGTGTGCCCTGCGGAAGCTCCACTGCTGGCGGCCCAGCAACAGCTTCCCTCCCCATCGCCCCACACAGCTGCCGGGGTCCCGCTCTGCCCACTGGGCACCGGGAGATGAGCTCCAAACTGGAGTTGGAGAGGCAGACTGGGACAGACTTCTTCTGCCCTCACACCTGCCCAAGCCTCATTTCTTCCTCTGAATTAGATGGACAATGTGAAATTTGTCCGGATCATGGTCAGGTGTGGGTTTCTCATCGCCGTCCTCCCCAGAAATGAGTCTCTCCCATTCCCTTCTCCACTCTATCCCAGAGGCTCTCCTCGCCTGTTCCTGCCTCTGTTCCCAGTTACCCTTCTCACCCTCATCTGGGCCAAGCAAAGGTGGCCATCCCACCACCTCTCTTGTGTGCCGTTGTTCTGAAACATCTGAGGCATCTGTTCTGTGATTCACCTGTTTCTGGTTCCTCCTAGTGCTTTCTGGCACTTTTTTTTCTATGTTGACATATAGGTGTCAGTTATATACCATAATATCCTTTATTTATTTTTTCTTCAAATCCAAAAGACTTCTGCTCATAGAGAGCAGTTCTCACCACTGCATTGTCCTTTGTGCTAGGTTTATTAAACTCATTTAATAAATACCAGTTTCTAAAAAATACATTTTTACTTGAATATTTACTTACTGACTACAGGTTTAATTATTAATTATCCTCCATATTGCTTTAATTACAAGTACAAAAGCTAGTATGGTTGAGTCTTTTGAACACTTCAGTGACTTGAACAACAGACACAACTTGTTTCTTACAAAAACTGCAGTAATGTATAACTTCCTCTTTGCTTCTAACCCGTATTTCTTCCCAGGGTGAAGGGGGGGAGATGTCAGAACTGAGAGGTGGTTATTTATAAGTGATGAAATGAATGTTTTCCATCTTTTTATTATCCATTTTCTACAATGTAAATATAATTTTAAAGATATTTTCAATTTAAAGAGGGTCAGAGACATGAAGAGACTGTGGGCACAAGGAGGAACAGATCAAGCCTTGACAAACAGATCAAGGGACATCTGTTTGCTCTTTGGAGGGACCCTCCCTTAATAACCCCAGGCCTTTCCTCAACCAGGAGAAGGGACCTGGGTACTTAGGCCAGGGTGAGGGGAACTGGTGTGGAAAGGTTACTGGGGATTGTGATCAAGTTTTGGGAGACAAAGGTTACCTGAGTGATTCTTTGTACCTTCCCAAGGGAGGGACCAGCTAACCCACGTAGTATACGTGTGTGTGTGTGTGTGTGTGTGCAAGAAAAGCACGCATAGAAGTGAACTGGAAGCAGATTTCACTGTCACAAAGGGATTTCCCTCCACCCAATTTTATTTATGCAGTCCTTGGGTTCCTTCCCCATTCCTTAGTCAGTGTAAGGCCAGATTCCAATTTAAGATTACTGAAGTATTCAGAATAATCTGGCAGAGTGCAGAGTTTAAGACTCTGGGCCAGCTTTCATCTAAGCTCTCCAATCTATTACTGTGTATAGCCTCAGGCAAGCTATTTCAACATCGAATCTCTGGCTTTTCCCTTCTAGGGACTAGTAATACTTGTAAGGGTTACCATACCTTACCTGTGACTGTCACATAGTTGGTGCTCAATTAATGAGAGCTGGAAGCCTTCTTCTGGCTTTTCCACTACTGTCTAATCCTGGAGCCTATGACCTTCTTTCGCATGTGCTTATTCTCATCTGTATCCCCAACTCTTTGCATGGACTCAATATGAGACAGGGATCAGATGCTTTGATTTTCAGACAGTCCTTTACAGACCCTGAGGAAGAGTGCCTTCTGACCCTCACGGTCCCATAGGAGTGCTAGGGTCTAGGGTCCTTTGTACTGAGGAAATCTAACCAGAGCTGGAAGGTCCATCTTCCCCCAGGCGGCATGGAGAGTGTGTCTCAGACTGACCCAAGATCCTAAGTGTTCATTGCCCAGTGAGGCCCGATGGAAAAGGACCTACCCATTCCCAATACAAGGCTGGCTGACTGTCTGCCAGGTCTTTCTAAACTCCCTGAGAGGAAGCACATCAGAAATAAGGTCGCTAAGCATTGTGCCCTCCTACCCAGTCAAACTCCCACCTCCTCCATGGCAGAAAGACCCCAGTGACAGAGCCCAGTCTGTCCTGACCTCTGCCTGCAGTCTTGCCTCCCCAGCAAGGCTGATTTACTCTCCATGCCCAAAGTGCCCCACCACCACCCCCTTCTCCAGTTGTGATCCTAAGGGGTGTTATTCTGCCTCTATCCCTTTCCCTGAGTGCCTAACCCCACCGTGCTAGTCGTTCTCAATGGCCCAGTAGGCTTTGGTGCTGGGGACCTTTTGTCTCTTCCAGGAGGGATTTTCTTACCAGGCAGAGTGGTCCCTCAGTCAAGTATCATCCCCTCAACTTTCCTTCAGCACATTTCTCCACTCATATCTTCCTCCCCAGTTTCCAGGGGCAGCCTCTTCCTCCTAACTCCCAAATCAGCCCCATCTGCCTAGTCCTAAGGGGGTTGATGACACATCAAATCTAAGAGAGGCAACTCTAGCTTTAAAGGTGGGGTTTAGGTGAAATACCCTTAGAGGATTGTAGTTTAAGACTTGGAAGAGGAAGCAGATAGTATTTGGGTTTGTAGAATCCCCAAATTAGGCAGAAATGAGCCAACATTTCAGTAGATGATGTGCAGGAGAGAATAGTTGACCGGGAAGGATGCCAGAAACAGTCTTCTGATGCGTTCTATGGGCAGAAAGTCTGCAAGTAAACCTTTGCCTTCAAAGAGCAAAGTCAAATGGGGGAGGTGTATTGGAAAATAGGCAAGTGCGGTACACGTGATCATTGTTTTCAGCCTAGAAACACAGGGTGGAAGCACACACAAGAGAGGCACCTCGATCAGGGAGTATTTCCTAGAGGGAACAATGGAGACAGACAATGGACGGAATGGGAGGACCAACAGACCAGGAGAGTGATAGCAGAAAAAAGAACAATGAGAGACAATGACTCAGAGCAAGAAGTGACTTATAAAGTCTGGCACTTACCCAAAGTTGCTTCTCTGCTGGGCCCTGGGGCAATTAACCCCTTAATACAGGTGATCCCCACTCAGAGGAACTGGGATGCTGCACTCAGCTGGTTCCAAATAAGGAAAATTGTAACAGAGAAGGCACTCTGAATTACAACCCCCCCCCCCATCCCCCTACCCTAGGACTCGGGACTGATGCTGATCTTATGAAGTGCATTGACAGCCCATAAACTGCCAAATCTCAGATCTGGAACCCCAGAGAAGAGAGACTTTGGTGGTGATGGGAGGTTCCTTTTCCCCTCCCCCTCCCTCCCCTCCCCCTTCAGCCCATTTGCACCAGTGGCTGGACTACTCCAGGCCCCTCCTCTCCCCTTCCCTGCCTACAGAGGAAGAGGTGAGATGAAAGAATGTAAGAGAGTCCTCCAAGATGCTGGAGACCTGGGTAGATTCAGACAGTAAATCTGAGACCCTGTTGACCATACAGGCTGTCTGTCCTCGTTGGTTTTCTAGGCACACCAGACTTCTCCCTCAGTTCTTAGCTCCAGAGGAAGGAGAAAAAGATGTTTGCATGGCATCAAGTGTGGGAAGGGGAAAGAGAATAAAGGTCAAATGAGAAGGGGTCAACTGAATGGGCCAGAAATGAAAAAAAGAAAAGTTTGTCCCAAGAGGACTGAGGGGGCCAAGAGCCATTTTCAGCACCTAACCTAATCCAATGGAAGAAAAATTGAAAAGAAAAAAAATTGATGAGAAATAAGTCTCACAAAAGAAATTCCCAGTCAAAACAGAGAGGTGCAGGTATTAATTAGAGCCCAGAGTCTCTAGCCAGACACCCACTTCAGGTCGTACTCCTATACCAGCTGTGTGACATTGTGCAAGTTAGTTAAAATCTGTTTCTCAGTTTTCTCACCTGTAAAATGAGAATGAAATAATACCTGCCTCATAGGGATGCTGAGCAGGTAAAATGAGTTGAACATATATAGAATGCTTAGTATAATTAGATATTAAACAGCTATCAGAGTTAGCTATTGTTTCTTCTATCTCTGTCTCCTGGCAGAGTCCCTCCCAGCAATAGTGCTGGTAGCCTTTGTGATGTCATATACTTTCAAAGACCCCATCAGGGGCTTTCTGGTCTATTGGAGGGAGGAAGTTTGGAGATAAACAAGGAACAAAGAAGGGTATTGCGGGTCTCGGGGGATACCTTTTCTGTATATTTAGAAGGGAGCCATAAGCTAACCCTTTGCCAGCTTGCCATACTGGTCGGACCCTGGTCCTATTTCTCTTAGAGTATCCCCTGCTGGTAGTTGAGACCTTTAGTACTTGGCTTGGGTCTCCTGTTCAGAGTTGACCTGAAGGCCAGCTATGCTATAAAGATTTGATGACTTTTTATGCCTTTCAAGTCCTTGCTTCTTCTCTGGGGTCCAGTGCCACCTTGTGCTTTCTCTCCT